AAGATTCCACCTGGTGAGAATGGAAGCAGCAGGAGCAGTCACACCCAGTGTCCCGAGGCAGCAGGGACAGTGATTTCTGGAGCAGCACCTATAGCCCAGCATCAATGGTATCTAGAGGACAAGCAGCAAAGTCTGTGCTCAGAGAGGTGGCAGAGGTGTCTTCATGAGACAGTTCTGTGGAATGAGTTTGAGCTTTGTCCCTGGCCTGCTTACCCATATCATTCTAATAAATTAGCCGGAGATGGTTTCTAGTTTCTATTGCTTACAACTAAGAACTCTAATAGATACAGCTTCTGTCTTGAAGTACAGTGGCCCAGAAAGATGAAGCAACAAAAGAAACTATTCCTGATGTCCAGAATGGGATTAAGAATGCCTGAGGACCAGCAGAGCAAAAAGGAAGAGGATGTTCTCATGGAGAGGAGACACCGGCCTTGCTGTATAGCTAATGACTTTTCTTTAAGGTAAACTTGCTCAAAACATGTCTTGCAGGGCTGGCCCGGTGGCGCACTGCTACAGTGTGCTGCTTGGGAGCATGGTGGCGCTCCCACCGAGGGTTCGGATCCCACATACAGACCGGTTCNAAAAAAAAAAAAAAAAAAAAAACATGTCTTGCAGAAACAGATTTCACAATGCAAGAATATCCACAAAATCCCCAAAGGGAAAGAAGGTAAAGATTAATCTTAGAAGAGATTTCCATAAAAATCAGGCTATTGATTATATCTGGGGGAAGAGAGAGGGTCATAACACAGAAAGCACTCTGTAGGGGCTTCTGGGATACTGACAGCATTCTATATCTTCACCTCTGCAGTACTTATATGGATATTTGCTTTATAATAATCCATTAAACTGCACTTTGTTTTATGTATTTTCCTATAGGTGTTTTGTGCTTCTAGATAAAAACTGTTTTAAAAAATGAATCCTAGGAAAGTGAGAGTTATTATTATTATTAGACAAGGCTAATGGTTTAAGGGGGGAAATAATAAAGGGGCAACCTACAGGCTAAAAGATACTTAAGTTGTACATACTGTAATACATAAAATTTTCCATAATAAAATGTATAAACAGTATACAAACATTAANTTTTTTTTTACACCTACCATCCAAATGCTGAGTCTACATTTAAGCACGCCCTACCTGATGAGACACTTCCCACTACTAAAGTATGAAGAGAATACTAGGACATGGGTATTTCACACAAGCTCCACCAATAAGATGCTCTGGCTGCAGATTCCAACAGAAAATGAATAATTTTTAGAAGCAGGAACTACAGAAGATTCCACCTGGTGAGAATGGAAGCAGCAGGAGCAGTCACACCCAGTGTCCCGAGGCAG